ATAGGGAGGGATGTGAATAGCCTTGCTATCAGACAGAGAGCTTTGTAAAGTTGATTATTACAGATGCAGTTAGGTTACACATTTTCATTTGATCTCCTTTTCTCCCATTTTTAAATTTGTTCCAGTTTTTAATATTTTCTGCTTTCTCTTTGGCTGAGGTTTTCCAATGATTTATTTTATTGTTGTTTGCTTTCCCTTTTGTTTGTTCCATGATTTTGCTGTACATGTTTTCCTTTGTATGAAATTCAGGATAGGTAAATCTATATAGACACTGTTTTATTAATAATTACCTAGAGATATGGCAGGAAGTTGGGGGGGGGATGGGGCGCTAATAACAATAACTATAAAAAAGAATAAAATGTTCTAAAAGTGATTGTGATGATTGCACAACTCTTCTTAATATAATTGTACTATTGAATTTTATGATATATGAATTATATGCCAATTTAAAAAGTTTTAAGGACTGGTGGAACTCTTGATACTGTGGCCCTTAGACACCCTGGAACTAAACCCACACCTGGGGGTCAACTTTCAGCCCAGCATTCGACAAGCCTATGATGTGAATAATAACACCAGGGGGCAATAGAGCTCTTGGACAAAATCAAACAGGCAACAACAAAAGGGCAGCATTTGCCCCAAAACAAAACTTGGAAGATAGAAGGGCAGAAAAGACAGACAAATGGAAACTGGGAACCAAGACGGAAGTGGGAAGGGTGCCGTTGCATTGAGGGGGCTGCAACCAGTGTCACAAAGCAAAATGTGTATGAATCGCTGAATGGAAAACAAATTTACTCTGTAAACTTTCACGCAAACTAAAACAAAAAGGGACTCTGAGTGTGTGTGTGTTTAGTCTCTTTGCCCAATTTCTTAAATTGAAATTGTGTTCCAACTTCAGGCATTTACGTCTTTCACTAATAAATGTATTCTAAGCCAATTTAACATATGATTCAGAGCTTCGTGTAAGAACCTCGTCTGGATCTTGTGATCTTTAGAGGGACATTGACAGATGATACTGACTCTAAAATTTTCTCTTTCCAAGTAGTTAGATAATACTCTTCTTTGGGTGTGGAAATTTTCTGTATGTTTGATTTGGATTGTTTTGTTTGCTTACATTAAGGTGTATCTCAGAGGTGTTATGTCATTGGGGAACAGGGGAGGTCACACTTTTGAAGGTGTGTTACATGTTTCTCCATTTTTTGATATATGAAACCCAGGTTGACGAACCATTAAAGACAGTAAGTAGAATAAGGGTTTCAGGGGGAGGGGGTACAGTGGTGGTGGGGAGTGAAGGGGAGACGATATCAAGGAGTCCATGTAGAAAAAGAATGTTTGGATACCAATTGTGGTAGCAATTGTACAATTCTGCTAGATGTGATTGAACTATTGGATGATATGATATATGTATTAAATTCCAATTAATAATAATAATGATGATTTAGAACATTATATTACTCTTCTTTCCATGTGCTTTTCTATTATTACTGCTTTCATAAACATATTTTTAAACTCCTCTGATGGAAAAACAGCTGTACTTACCTCATTTTACAGACGAGAAAGCTAAAATACAGATATAGAACTTTAAGGAGAGAGCTCGAAACCTAGAATCTACATAATCAGAACCAGCTAGTTCAATGAAGTTTGATTGTTTTGTTAATATTTTATGTTAATATTTTTTAAATCATTTTATTGGGGTCTCTTACAACTCTTATCACAATCCATACATACATACATCCATTGTGTCAAGCACATTTGTACATTTGTTGCCCTCATTATTCTCAAAACATTTTCTTTCTACTTGAGCCCTTGGTATCAGCTCCTCAGTTTCCTCGTCCCTCCCTGCCTCTCCTTCCCTCATGAACCCTTGATAATTTATAAATTATTTTTATATTGTTATGTCTTACACTGTCCGATGTTTCCCTTCACCCACTTTTCTGTTGTCTGCCACCTAGGGAAGGGGCTATATGTAGATCCTTGTATTGGTTCTCCCTTTCTCCCCCACCTTCCCTATATTAATATTTTAAGATTACGTATAAAATTTTTAGCACCACTCTTTCTGTAACTTCATCTAACCAACCCAAGAGCTTTTTATCTGTTATTTCTATCTAAAGTTAACATAAAAAACAAATGCAATAAAAGTCGTGGTGAGTTCCTTATAAACATGTTTCTAGAGGTACAAATATGAGACCTACCCTAAAGATCTCAGAGAGGGAGAATGAAGAACTTCTTACTAGTTACCAAAATGTTCTGTCGCTTATTTAAGATATGATTATAAGTCATTATTTAAGTATACTACAGGAATGTATATATGGTGCATTGGCTGATAGATTTGAAAAATAGAACAGGATAGGAAATAAATTAAAATGATGTCTACATGGTCAACAGAGACTTTAATCATTTAGTTAGTTATGTTCAGACAAGTGGATATCAATTTGGGAAAATGAAACCAAAAAATACTTCAGACTTAGTCTTCATATTATCCATTGAAAATTCTGGGACATTTCAAATGTAACTATAAAAGTATAGACACACATTAATATTCACTGGGATATGACAAGATGGCACCAGGTTTTACACAGTCGTGGTCCCCATGTTGAATGACTTGATTTACTGTCTGAGGAACAAGAAAGAAATCAAAGGTGGTCTTAAGAGATATGAGAAAAAAGAAAGCATTTCCTCATTGTTACTGATCATTAAAAGTCTAGTAGAATACTGACCATGGTGACCTGAAGTTCCCTATTTGATGTTATTTAACCTCACAGATTTGCTGGAAGGATTTCAAGTGTCTATTCGTCTAAATCCAGGACTGGCTCGGTGCCACGTGATATCTTTGTCCTGACAATTGACTCTTCTCTCTAAAAGCAGCAATGACCCTTCCAAGGTGTTGGTAAATTAATCTTTGTGAAATGACAACCTTGATTTCTCCAATGTTTGACCCTGACACATTCTTTCAGCATCTCAGGCTATAACCCCAAGAATATGGGACTAAGCCTCAAATGAGTCATCTTTACTATCCACAGCTTCACCAACACCATAACGACCGCTTGGTCCTGTACCTCAAACCCATCTAGGATTTAGCAAGATGCCAGTTGACTGAAGTGGGAATGTGGAGAGAAGCAAAATTTAAGACTTTGACCTAACTTCTTTGCCAAAGAAATCTGCCACAGAGAGTTTGCTCTAGAATTTGTTCTCTTGGTTTTTTTTAAAAACTAAACTTCAATAATTAGTAAGGTAATGTAAAAGAGGAAATTCTAGCATACTATTCTGACCATCATTTTACTTAAATCCACAATCAAAGCCATTAGAAGCCACAATCAAGAAATCAAATGATATATTGCACTGGGCAAATCTCCTGAAAAGAGCTCCTTACAAGTGTTAATAAACAACGGTGTCACTTTGAAGACCTGAATCCATTGTATTTTCAATCATCATATCTGTGTGTGAGAGAGAGGGAAATGTGTGAAACTGGACAATAAATAAAGAACAATTGATTTATTTGAATTATGGGGTTGGCAAACAACATTGATTATACCATGGACAACCAGAAGAGTAAACACACCTCTCTTGGAAGAAGTCTAGTCGAATATGGATGAAGATACTTCCTCTCACGTACCTTAGACATATTATCAGGTAATCCCTGGAAAAGAGCACCAAGGTTGGTCAAGTATAGGGTCAATGAAAAAGAGGAAAATCCTCAATGATATGAAATATCATAGTGGCTGCAAAATTGGGCTCAAATATAGCAGTGATGGCGATGATGGTGAAAACGTGGGTACCGTTTTATTTTTGCTGTATGCAGTGTTGCTATGAATCAGAGCTAACTCACTTGCAAACCTATATGGGTATGTGTGTGTGTGTGCGCATGTAGATAGATGATTAGATAGATAGATGATAGATAGATAGATAGATAGATAGATAGATAGATAGATAGAT